TTCTAATTTCAGCCTCATTTATGCACAGAAAGTATTTCTAAAGTTACGGTGGTCACTGGTTGTGATCAGTGCCCACATACGTAAATATGAGTTCTTCAGTTGCCAGTGCTGATGTAAAATCAAACTTGCCTCCAAACAGTAACAGCAATAAACCAAACAGCGTTCACACAGAGAAATTAGACACCTAGTTGTCAACAGCCTGGGTATATTCAGTGATACTAGAACTCCTCAAAGAATACACAGACCTAGCTAAAGCAAATTTGGAGAGATACAGGCAGGAAGTATTTGGAAAAGCAATAGCACAAAACATATGGGGATGCTTTACTTATATTTAGTGTTGTTTTATACTACCTTATAAAGGTAAGCTGTTTCGCAGATGTTGGCTGCTTATATCAACTAGTTAGGGTCTGAATATAATTTTCTGGGCAATTTGAACCATTTGTTTCCATGTGCTGGCTGCTACAGATGCCACTGTGCTTTATATCTATTGCGGGTTACATATCCAAGATTACTTTATTAAAACTTAAAATAATTTTGTAATACAATACCTCTTCTTTCTGAGAAAAATTAAGGTAATTTTTTGGCACTAAAAAAGCAGTCCTGTTTGTAAATGCACTTAGAGAATTTTGCTGATTGTAAGGGGTCATTATTAGGGTTATCCTATTAGTGTTATCAAATTATAAACAAATAAAAGTAAGACAAAGTAAGCCTATTTTTATTGCCCCTGGCTGTCCTGATGATACAAAATGAACAACCCAGAAGAGGTTCAATCTTTTAATCTTTAAGCAGATTTCGGGCATGTCCTTTTGCCTAAAATAAGCTCATTGTTGGCAAGAGCAATGAGATTTTTACAGGCTAAAGTAAAATGTCGTTGCAACCTGTACCTGAAAAGCATCGTCACTGTTCAACTTTCTGCCTTCACACCCTTCAGTTTTAACAGAATCATAGAATTTAAGGGTTTGGAATGGCCCTTACAGATCATCCAGTCCCAACCCCCTGCCCTGGGCAGGGACACCTCCTCACTACACCAGGTTGCTCAAGGCCTCGTCCAGTCTTGCCCTGAACACTGGCAGGGTTGGGGCAGCCACCACGTCCCTGGGCAACCTGTGCCAGTGTCTCACCACTCTCACAGGGAAAAACATTTTTCTAATATCTAAGCTATACTTCCCCTCCCTCAACTTGAATCCATTACCCTTTGTCCTATCATTGCAGTTCCTAACAGAGTCCC